TAATTAATATTGCCATATATGTATGAAGATTTATATTGAGTCAAATGTAATGGTGCTGTAAGATAGGCTCATTCCTTTTGGTGCCATACGATAACTGAGATTAAAGCTGTTTTATATACAGTTTCACAAACTACTTCGATTATGAAGAAAATATGTAATCGTGCCAGGAGCAAATCGTACCGGATACGTATAGAATTATCAATATTAACGCAGACTTCTAGAAAATAATATTTTTGCAAATTATTCAGACAAACAACCGAATTTATTCTTATGAAAAATATAGAAACGTGAATTTAAACATTTTGTGTATACAAATAAAGAGATAGAGATATTATGCAAATACAAAATGATTGGTACGAATTACTACGAATGAACTTTAAAGATGGCAGCCCTAATCAGTCTCAGGACCAAATAAAATTAATAGCCCTTCATAGTGCCCATTTTGGTATCTTTAGTTAGACGACATGTTACGATACCTGAGCCTATTGGTAGTTTTGATGGAAACGTTTTTTACTTTACTTGTATCAATATTTACTTTTTATATTAGACATACTATACATACTATCACTGTAAAATTATTGTGTTCAATAAAAACTTGCTGCGAAAGAAAACTAGTATTTTAGACTAATATAAAATCAAAACTAAAGATCTGATGTCTATAATCTCATCATAGTATTAAACTATATTAATCGTAATACATTATGTTATGTTACAGTTAAATGACCATTTGAGCCATGTAGGCGGAATCGGTGGTCTAGTGTTGAACACACCGCGTTACTTCCGATGGTCATGGGTTGTATTCCTTCAACGATGCAAACCTTTGTGTGATTGTTTGTATTAGTCTGAGTGTTTTTATGTATATTATGTATAGATTTACAAAAAACTAAGTATTTATTTAATCTAACTATTTGTCGTCTAACATAACACAAGCACAGTTATTTTTTTTTTATAGATATGTATAGGATAGCATGATTAAATTAAATGCCTATAAGAGACTGGATAACAAAATTATTGCGCTTTATTCAAGTAACGTAAGAGGATGATCATATATTATTTATTTATTATTTAGTATTACAAGTCTAGAGATTGGAGCCACAATACTCCGTAAATTCACTGCAAATAAAATTTACAATCTACGCTGCATGCAGTAGAACTAGGGTTCATTCCCGGGAATTCTCGGTTCGAGAATTCCCGGGAAATTCATGGGTTTTGTTCCCGGGAAATCAAGCTCGAGAAAAGTCGAGAACTCGAGAAATCGTATACCTATATAGAAATTAAATTGACCTTTGATTTGTTGCGTGGCGGCGCAATAATTTAAGATATTATTTTTTTTGTTTTCTTTCATGTTATTTTTTTATTTTGTAGAAACTATTTTTGTTTACGTTGTTTTTTTTCCAAATAAGCAGCCAAAAATGGGGCTGTCTTTATAAATATAAGTCTGAATAATTAGATCCTAAAAAATTTAAATTGGCGTTTTTTAAGGGAATAACCTGAAGTATTTTTTTTTCAAAATATAATATATTTATTTAATCAAAGTATGTACCATTTCTATTTATGCACTTTTGCCTTTTGTTTTTGTACTTTGGACTGCCCCATCGGAGTTTAATTTTTGCCCTTGCAAGAAGTTTGGATAACTTCTTGCAAGGGCAAAAATTTCTAAAAAAATGCTAATCTGTTGGAGCAAGGTCCGGGAAGTACGGTGGTTGTCTTAGACATTCCAATTGAAGCTCTTCTAATTTGGTAACTGTCTGTTGTGCAGTATGTGGTCAAGCGTTCTTGGTGATTGACCAGCTTCGGTTGTTTAGCAGCTAGCTTTTCCATCATTGTTTCTCAATTGCTGACAATACACATTTGCCGTAATCGTCTGGCCACCGGAAATAGTCCACGAAACGTTCACAAGTAACATTTTTTGAGCCAATTTTTGCTTGGAGCAGGATTTGGTTGGTTCGCCAGGGTTTAGCCAATGCAATGAGCGTTTCTGATTATCGTACAAGATCCACTTTCCATCAAAGGAAATGATTTGATTTAAAATCCCTTCATTATTATGCCGGTTGATTAATGTAACGCAGCAGGCTACGCGCGTTTGTCGATTTACTCCATTGAATTCATGAGGGAACCACTTTTCAAGCTTTTTCACCTTCCCAATTTGCTAAAGGATTAAAACAGTTTTGTCACTAACACCGCAGCCTGCAGCTAACTCGGACGGGTTTGCGATGGATCCGCTTCCACAATAGCCTTCAATTCTTCATTATCAACCTTGGATTCCGGCCGCCCACGGAGATCGCTTTGCAGGTCGAAATTTCCAGAACGAAAACGTTGAATACAAAAATGCACGTGTTTTCTTTTGCGAGACCACTGCCATACACATCGAGCCGTTTAGCACCGTGTAGCACTGGTGCCACAGCGGAACTCGTACTCGTAAATAACGCGATATTTTAAGTTTTTTCATTTTGTATGCTGTGAGTGACCCAAAGTAAAATAAAATAGCTGTATAAATTTGGAAATAGAATTCATAACCAAAGAGGAGATATTTGAGATCATAGTGGCCAGTACGACAAAACGCCAATTTCATATGTAAGGACCTAATATTATTTCTCTATTTAAAAAAAAAATATTCATAATATTAATGTTTTTAAATATACTCAATAAAGGTTTAATTTTATACTTTTATGTGAGAGGAAAACCACTGAATTTTTTGATGTTATTGGAACCAAATAATATGAGAAAACGTACGTAAATGTAAATTTCTCGACAACCCGAGAAGACCCGAGAAATTGACCTCGAGAATTCTCGAGACCCGAGAAATTGAAAAGCTCGAGAAATCATGAACCCTAAGTAGAACGTGGCCACATGGCCTGTCCGTCGCGTTCGCATCGGATATGTAAACAAATCATGTTACAATAATAAAACATAATGAGCAGTATGTTATTTTATTTGCCTTCAATCTTTCTTCGCTACGTCGATTTCGTAACCTTGTCCTAAAATATGGTATGATATACTGTTTTTTAGAATTTATAAATTATAATATTACGTAAATTATTTTTATATATAAATTCATAATAATTATCTATAACAGACGAATTTAGTGAATATATAGTACAATTCTGTGTGTGATAAAATGAATAGTTTTATTCCCAGGATCATTCAGAAAATGCAAGTATATGAATTAATTTTATAATGCATTGAAAAAAGAGTAATTTACTTGTGTGGTATATTGTAAATGAACATCTGGCAACACTGATGTTAACAATGCAAGTAGATTATATAAGAAAGTTCAATTAAATTGCAGTAATAAATAGATGTATATCAATATATAAGAACTCCCATAATATAAATTAATGTAAACACGAATACCTAAGTACATTTATAAATGTAAAGAATCAAGAGCGATCAATTTTACACTCGATTTAAAATTTGAATATTCGGAAACCATTAATATTATGTTGTTGGTACCTACTATGTTATCAGAAATCCGCAGTACGGAAAATTCAAGAATATCTTATTCAAATACTTATGCCGTATTCTCAATCAAATTTAACACAAAGAGAACCGGTTCAAGTAATTAAGGTAAAAACGAATGTGTATAACATTTCCATTTTTTAAATGATTCGCTCATTCGTTTTGTCTTCATTACCTGGTTTTTCATCGCTTTAGAATCTAGACCACGGTTAGGCTAAAATTGAGTCCAGGGTTAGAGTATGAAATAAAAAAATACTATTAAAATGATCTGGAATAACAATAATATAAAAATAACCCTTTGTAGTGAAATCAGCTGGTCTATTCACTTAGTATTAGATTTGTAACTAGCTAACTAAGCAAATTACACTTCTCTATTCTCTGTGTGGTATAAAATTTTAAACATTAAAAGCTTTTTGCATTCGTCAGATATTCGGAATTATCGTAATTGGTATGTCATGCTACTGATAGCATCGAAGCAGACAATGATGGTGATGGCGCCGTGTCTGCCGACTGGCAAAGATAACATACCGCAAGGAGTTTTACACTGTCGCCAACACACTTGTTGAAATCATCTTGATGAAAGTTAGTAAAAAATATACAAAGCGATGGTTTGTATATTTTTAACTAACTTTCATCTCTAAATTTACTAAAAGTATATTAGTTTTAATCTAAAATATCATCTATGTATATCCCAAACGTTTAAATATATTCATGATATGCGTGAAATAATAACAAACATTCACTCATACTCGCAAACTATCTGGCATATAATATTTAGTAGCGCTGTGTAAATTGTCCAGCCAAGTTATTTATTCCTTGAAAATATATCTCAAAGTGGCTTCAAACATTTCTGTATTAATTTGTAATTACACAATACTGTAATGTTTATGCCATGATTATGGCATAGTAAAACACTATGGGTATCGCATACTTGCTCTGCTCACTCCTTTAACCTTCATCTTCTGTCGCATGATAATTATATTCTTTTATTCCTTGAAAATTATATTCTTTTCCTGTTGATAAAGTAAATACTAACATTTTATATAATTTATCAACCTCGTCGGGCAAAAACATATCTAATAGGAAAATGAATAAAATGATTCCCTATTTTCTTGTACCAAAGAGCCGAGCCAAAAATAAACTCGTCGTGTCGTCTTGAGATAATACTGATTGGTAATACCCACGTGTCTTAGCGACTCTCATTACCTCGATTTTTAACATCGAGGTTAACACCTATTAGTTATTTTTTTTGCTTAGTTTGGGCCTTATACTAAGATCAAAGTGTGTAAAGTACTGTCTAGTGCTACTGCGAAATGAAAACAAAGTATCAAAAGCACTTGCACATTTACATAAATTATATGCGTACTAGTCACTACGTATGCTTTTTGACAATGACGTTCAGCCAGTGGTTTCAAAATAAAAACATCCACCGGCTGTAAAACTGACTCGGGCATCCAAAACCAAACGCAACGAACATCGTGCGAATGCAGCCGAACACGATCTCGAATCGACGACACCAACTCCTCAGTCCGTTGGAAGCCGCGGGCGGGGCGCCACATTCGGTGCGCGCCTCGTGTTTGTCATTGTTTTTACACACCATTGTTTTAATCCCTCCGATTGCAATCGATACGACATTCGAATGCAAAAATACGGCCTAGTTGCATTTTTTGCCTATTGAGTGTATATCGAATCGAAAGACATAAAATAATTTTAAATATACCAAGATATCTCACATCATAAGGTGACTTATTGACAAGTGAAACTCTAACGTTCTATTCATCCATGGATAATTATGTTCGTAAGTTTTGTTAATGAACTACTTATTGTATGTGCAAGTGATATCAGCTACAAAGGATTGCAAGCAAATCAATAAACGATTTGGTATTCAGCCAGTATCAAATAACTCTTACTGTGCGCTTTATTACTCTGTTGCATATTGATTGCTCGTTCCAGGTTCCCTGCAAGTCGTTTAGACTAGGTAAGATATAATGCAATTCATTTGTGTGTTTTAAATAGCAATGATATGGTTCTAAAATCTGGGTACAGATGCTAGAAAATATTTATGTTTAATTTTTAATTAGATATCTGTTACAAAATATACAAATATCCAGCCGAAATGAAAAAAAATATAAAGGAAAAATTTTAAATACAAATCGAGACCTCTGATTGCTCTCGAGTGCTCTTTATTATTTAGTTCTTTACATTGCGGATAAAAAATAAATAATAAAATAGATCATATTTTTAACACAATGCAAATATTTCCATCACACTATATATTTATTTATAAGTAAATAGTACGTGTCCTGGATAGCAAGGCTGAAATTGGGATACTATATTTTAGTATAATAGTGATTGGCATATTTATTATAAGTAAACATTTATTTTGTTTTGTTGAAATTTAACCACTTTTTATGGATTAGGTTATCAAATTTTATTTTTTAAAACTGAAACCATGTAAACATTTCCGATACAAACATACTTTCCAAAGAAAACAACATTTCCCTTATTTGAAATATGTACGTGTACAGTCAAACATTCATACAACACAAAAAACTAACAGTACCTACGCAAAAGTTTTTACTACAATTTTTTATCTATGACGCAAAAAGGCTGTCGAAAACAATTTTCGACTAACTGTCAACTCTAACCCTAATCAAAAACTAAACAGTAGTAAACAACACAAATATTATAAAACAAGTAATGACACATGGCGTGTGGCATCCTACAATTCCTAATTAATTATTTTTCTATAGATATCCAATTCTTGCAGATATATATCTCCTGAAATAATATCTTATTCTCTAATTTCAATCAATATAATCCAAATGTCTTTATTACAAATTACCTTGAAAGTCTAATAGGGTATCTACTCGCATCATAATGGATACCAATAAACAATAGAGAACCTAATCCTTTATACCCCGTCGTACAACTGGGATTAACTAGATATCTATGAGAGCCATTCACCTTTTCTGTATAAGGTTGGATATACTTGTAATATTTCATACGAAATTATTTGTTAAAATTTTAATTGCAGTATATACGATCTTTGAGAAATTTATGCTAGTATTAGCAACTGCAATATTGTTTCAACGCATCGTGATTATTATCTTTAGGCAATGAAATAAAAGAGGTCAAAAGAGGTTATCTGCACTACCCAGGTACCTGCCGGCCTCGTGGGCGAGCTTTAGTTACGAATACAATAGACTTCAAGCTGAATGAGGCGCCGCAGGTAGACTACTTAATACTGCATGTTTTAGTAGTTTTCTGCAATGCTGCAACTATATTAAACACACCACATAACAACGCATAAACTGTTCAATATTGAAATTATACATTTAGAAAATATTTAAAACTTTGTAACAATATAGAGAGCCTAAATATAGACAGCTGTAATTGGACTAAATAGGTGTCCAATTAATATGAGTATAACAGATGTTTTACGCAAAACTGCTGTAGACTTTTGAAAAATCTTTAAATGCTACAGCATATTCGACCGCAAGCAGGAACAAGGGGAGTCCAACCAGTTTCGTCACCTGGCCGCCATACGCACACACTTAAAACGCTGTATACTCGACTTGTTCCATTATTGTTCAAACCAGTATTTGCCAACCATCGAAAAAAATGGTAAAAATATCACATCAGAAATACACATGAAACAAAATAGGGTATGTTTTATTCTATATGTGCTAGACGTTATTTAATCAGAAGCGAAAGCAATCCATTGAATAGTCGATAAGACTACCCGATAATGCTTTTGCAAAGCAACCTAGCATTAATTTCCTCTTCATTTCTTCATTTGTTACTCTCTCAAACACTGCAATGACGTTACATTGGTTTTTTGTACTCGTTTAAACTTTCTATGATGAGTTGACGATAGAAAATAAAAGTTATGTGCAATTATACTATATCCTCTATTGGTGTTTCGAAAGTATCGTGACTCAATGCCTGTTGCATTCGTAATCATTCATACGTCTGATCTTTGTTGAAGATTATGCTAGCCGTAATTTTCTAAGGTATTGAGTTTGTACTTACTGCATTTGATTAAATTTTCTGTAAATATATCTAACTTTCACGGTATTATTAATATAACGGTGGCCAATCGATAAAAATAACTTACTGAAGATTTGTAATTCTCTTCAAGAGTTTTGCAATAGTATGGTTCTAATAGTTCTGAGTAAATTATCAAATGAGTATTATATGTTATAATCTAAATAATTATTATTCATAAACATTAAAAAAAGACAAAATTGTCGCTATTCGTACTTTATTACCATTAATCACATATCTACTTACTTACCCATTTACAACATAACAATTTCTAAATAAGAACCTACAGAATTTGGGACTGCATTTCTATTTGATTACCATAACATTTTGTCAGAGTTGTTATCCCAAGTCTCAACGGTTGCTGCCAAACATATTGTGGCCCTTATTCATCCCATTGATATTCCACAGGTACTTTGTGGTTAGGAATTTCTTTATAAACCATGATTCATCATTCACATTTTATTGCTACTAAATTATACGCTCATTTATTATTTAATTCCTTCATAACTCTTACATTGTGATGCTAAGGCTAAAATAATATTATAAAGAAGAAGCAGCATATACTCAGCTTATAAACTTTGTTTCGTCATAAGCAACATTTTATCGGTATTATCTCACAATGTTTCATATTTTAAAGTCCCAAGGTGCTTTCGGCGTGTTATGCTCATTAATTTCGTTGGTTAACGTGAGTTCGTGTGTAATCTTTAACCTTAATCTAAAATAGCCTAGATTTTATAGTCTACATTTTGTTGCTTTGACCCGTCATAAATAGTTTTAGGCTTATTGATATTTCAAATTGTTATCATTAGACAAATTAATCGAACGATATCATTACAAATTTCAGATCTGTATAGGATTATTAGATTATATAAAAAGAAATAATATAGGCAAAAAAATTATATTGTTACACCTTAGTAGCTAATGGACAGTTAGATCTTAACAATATCCTGTCTAATTAGAGAAATCTAGCATAAAGTCAATAAAAAGATGACAAATTAGTAATTGGCCGATGATCACTGTCGCTTTCGTCTTCTCATATTTTACTAGATTTTGCACTTTAATAGATTTTGCAAGACACACATACCTATATAACTAACGGTCATCTTTTTAAAAAGTAGTCCTTTCAACTATTTAAAATTCATGAGTTTGTAGGTAAATAGAAACAAAATATGACCCAGTGACATGCCCCTTGACCTTAATTTTCGTGTGATAGTGGAGCTTAATATGTGTTCAACTTTAATTAAATACACAGATGTGAATTATATGAAGCAAAATTGGAATGATGTTCAGAATAGAGTTCACTATTCACAAAGTTCTCAAATATACCTCATTGTTCCCGTTTGATGCTATTATAAATTCTATTATTTGATTTGTAACAACAAATTTGATTATGTATACAAAAAAGTAGTTTTACAACCTAAACTAGAATCGTTTCTAAAAATGTTTAAACAATTTTAGCACAGTTATTTTTAGATACTGGATAAACTTTAACATAGAACTTAACAAAATAGGGTAATTAAATCTAACCTTTGGATTGTTCGCAAATATAATAAATACTAACTGTTATCTACGTCTTCACCCGCGTCAAATTGAACTATTTTTATTAATTTAAGTAAGTAAAAAATAAAAGTAGCCTAACTTACTGCTTTTAATATTAACTATCTGCGAGTGAAAGTTACGTCCCAATCGATACACCCGTTTCAAAGATTAGCAAAATCAGATTGCAAACTGTACTTTTAGGCATTAGTAAAAAAATATTTTTATACATATAGTTACGTATATGTGATACATAAAATATACTTTCGTATGCATTTATTGAAAAGCTGTTAATTTGAAATTAAGATAAATACACTTCAATTTTATTTATTTGTGAATTTCATTTATTTTGTGTTTTGTTCGTTTTTATTATTTATATGTTATGTAATTTATATAAATTCTGTAGGAATATTTTTCACCATCGGTCCCAATTTCCTAGAAATAAGATCTGGCAACATTATTTATGAGAGTCAAGAGCCAAGTGACCATAATTAGGCTGTGTTCCCACGCGGTTACTGACAACCCACTCTTCAAGTATTGGATTCGGTTCAAGTATTGGTACGGTAATATACTCCTAAACAAATTGAGTATTGAATTATTATCAAAGACAAGTAATTAATATGTCAATCTGAAATAAATCTATGCACTCTAAGATATTTGCCTACGCATATTATAATTGACTTGTAAATATAATAACTACTAACAGTATCCTATGATTCTACCCTCGTGAATTCGAGTATAAAGTATTCTGTGTTAATCTAGGATATTACTTTGTAAATAAACTTTAAAATAATGACTTTGCAGTAAATTTCATTCGAATCTGTGCAGTAAAATTTCTTAAAAATAAGAATTATATTAATATTTATTTATATCAGATAACAAATGGCCCATATTATATATTAAAGTAACAATTAAGTTATTAAATATAAATATAAATTATCACTGTGGTTACGATACTGACCATACCTTACTATACTTATCATCAGAAATTTTTAAATAAATAACAGAATAGATTTCTTGATATAATATTTTTGAGCCCTGTCAATATTGTCAAAAGAGGATTTATTAAATATCATAAAGTAGCAACTTTATCAAAAATTGATATTCAAAAATTAATTAAGTAATTAATCGATCGAATCATTTATTACGACCGGATAAGCTAAATCATTAAAACCAAGTTAGCATTTATAATGATCTCTTTAACAATGAGTTTCGTAAGAAAATTACGTGCTTATAACAAATAAAATCACCATTAATAATAAGTAATGCATTACTTGAACAATATTAGTTCAATTGGTCACGTCAAAATAACAATAGTGGATTGAGCATTGAGCAAATGAGTAAATATAGCTTTTGTTATTGTAATTATGTGTACCCTATACTGTTATTAAA